GAGAAAAGCCTAACTCCATATCCCTGACACTCACCTCTTACATATTTGTAAACATTGATGAGGTCACCCCTCAGTCTCCTTTTCTCCAAGCTAAAGAGACCCAGCTCCCTCAGCCTTTCCTCATCAGGGAGATGTTCCACTCCCTTCATCATCTTCATAGCTCTGCGCTGGACTCTTTCAAGCAGTTCCCTGTCCTTTTTGAACTGAGGGGCCCAGAACTGGACACAATACTCCAGATGCGGCCTCACCAATGCAGAATAGAGGGGGAGGAGAACCTCTCTTGACCTACTAACCACACCCTTTCTAATGCACCCCAGGATGCCATTGGCCTTCTTGGCCACAAGGGCACATTGCTGGCTCATGGTCATCCTCCTGTCTACCAGGACCCCCAGGTCTCTTTCACCTACACTACTCTCCAGCAGTTCTTTCATAATTGAAAGGAAGTATTTATGTATTTTTTAACCAAAATGGGAGCCAAAAATAGATGTGGTAGTAGTTGTATTACTGTGCAGTAAATAAACTGATCCCTTCCACAATGACAGTGAGTTGCCCTCATTTAACACTGACACAAAAGGATTGTATTTAGTTAATTTTTTTGCTCTTTATACTGTACATTTCAAAGCATCAGATTAACCTTGACTTACTCTTCTTAATAATGAACTGGATTAAGTGAGCAAGGAAGAGGAAATTGAGTCAAGTTTTACTTAAAGATTTACTAGTTAGTACTTGAAGTTGCCACTAGTTTTAGAGAGGCTGTGTCAGTAAAAGAGAAACCATACAATCTTTCTTGCATTGTTTCTGTTTTCATCACATGCTTATATTTAGGATATATCCACACCATAACAAACCTTCAGGGTGCTTTGGGATGACAAGTTATCAATTTTTATTGCTTCTATGTGGCAAGTGACTCTTCTCTAAACTACTCATAATGCACATAAGTTGAGTTACTGTAAACTAGTGTTTCTCAGCTTTTCTGGTGGTTGTACCTCACTTCAAAACGTGGGCAATCTCTCATGCCTCTCTGCCTTGACCTTTCCATCACTTTCACCTAGTTTTCTGGCTTGTCTTTATACTCTTGTGAATCCTGTGTACTGCTCCTATTCTAGAGCTCCTGCTATGCTTTTTCATCTGTTGTTTTCAGGCAGCACTAGCTTTCCACTAACTGCTAGTGCTTTCCACTGAGATTGAAATAATGCATCCCAGTGGACGCCACTGACTCCATCAAAGACCCTCTGGGGTCTCTACATTGTGCTCCCTGGCTACTAGGCAGAAAACACTTAAACTATTTCTGCACTGAACTGACAGAGTCCAGGTATCATTTCTTAGCCTGGTTTCTGTGCTTGTCCTTACCTGTCATGAGGTGTCTGCTGCTAGTGCATTGTTGCAACCTGCATGCCTTGTAAACTGCTGACTTAAACCACCTTTTCGGTGGCAAAACGAGTGTAACTTCATTTAGACAAGCTAATAAATATATTAATTTTTTTTGCAAGTGCGATCTATTTCACACATTGTCAAACTCTTAATTGACTGTAATCACTTACTAAAAGATTCTCACTGTCACTCTGAACACATCAAGGGAAGTCTCTTGAGTATAAAACCATGGTCACAAACCATAGAATGCTATAAAAATTTCTCTAGGGTTATGACATTTTCAGAAATGTTGTGGCTGTTTCTAGTTAGTGTCTAAATAGAAGAATTAGGAGTGTTTTAGATGGCTTGAATATTGTAAAATTGGGGAAAAAATTAAAAAAAATTGGGAAAACCAATTTGTGAGAACAAATGAAAAGAGTTTTAGTTTTGTGAGGAGATAAACTATTCTTTTATGTGTTCTACCATTTCAGGTAATGTACTTGCATTTTGTCATGGTCTAAAGATGAGGGGAAATTTTGTGGAACTGAGAGGATCAACAGACATAAAACTAGTACATTATTTTTACATTTAGAAATGAATGGTAATATCCAGACTGAAGACTACACTAAAATGGAAGAATTAGGTTACTGAAATAGGAGAGACAGGCAGCTTTTTAAGGCCAAAATTTCCCCAGTCTTAACTTCGGAGCTCCACTTTCAGTCTGTTTAGAGAATGTTTTTTTTTCTACTTGAAACCCCTAGGCAATTGTAGTATTATGTTATGCAAATAGCTAGAATAGCCCCATCCAGGTAGAAGAGAAGTAGGTACTTCATTAGAATGTATAGGATCCAGAAGCTGGATACAGAGGAATACAGCTGCTTCTAGGTGAGCCCAGAGAGGGCTGCCCCTTTTCTGTACTGAGCTCAGTACTACAGGCAGTGGCCACAACCACTTGCCTTCTGAGCTGAAGCTGTAGCGGGAGCCACTGGGTGTGATAGCAGTGCCTACACCTTGTACGGCGTCCCTGTTTGCTGGGAGAGTTAGTGACCTGTGTTCTAGTGCCTACAAAGCCAGCTCTAGAAGGCTTTAAAAATGGTGTTTCCCAACTCTTCCTTTACTCCCTCGCTGTCCAGAAATGAGATCAGGTACAATCAGGGAGAATTTTAACCCCAGGAGTCTTAGTAGCAAAGGCAACTTAACTCCAAATCCAGTTACTAGGGCACTCACATTGAAATTTGGGGTTTAAGTCCTGCTGTCAGGCTTGTTTGTAGGACATGTATAAACCATTTATTGGACAAATGTGGAAGTAAGACATAGATACAAGTCTGGTGATAAATGCACCTTCATTCCTTCATTGTGATTATGTTTTGAATTCAAGCTAAGCAGACCTAATCTGTTTTCTTTTGTTTTTTGGGGGAAAGTTCAAGACATTATTTAACCATCATAAAATTAGGCAGGTACTGTCACAGATTACTTTGTAATTTGTTTCAAAGATTACATTTAGGCTTTTCAGAAGCGGAGAGATGCCTCCAACCCTTGCAATGCTTGTTACCCTTCTTGAATTCTGCAAACATGGGACAAGTCAGTCCCTACTTCAAGGTTTACTACATTATCTTTCAGCAGCTTCTTGTTCAACATGGAGATATTTCTTATTTCTTCTTGAGTTGCCTAACTTTCTTCAAGCACTGTATAAGAAAATACACACCTAATCTGGGGGTTTTGAGCTAGTAAAAAGTAGGAGTTACTATTGTCTAAATTAGATATTCAGGTCTCTTTGGTGGGTTCAGTTCCAAGGGCCAAATTAGACTTAAAGCAAATTTTAGCTGATAATGTACAATGTCTGAAATCTATCCAAAGTCTGCCTACTTACAAATACTTGTACTGTAAGAGTCCATTCAGTGATTGACACTAAGTAATGGAAAGAGGTTACTGGGCTTCTTGTCTTGCCTGGGGCTTCCGTGAGTCAAAGCCTGGAAGGTGGAAGACACTAACGTATATTTGTGGCCATAGCATTTAAGTTAATATTCCAATATAATTTTCAGCCAATGTCATTATGAGATTTCCAGTGAAGGACTTTGCAAAACAAAATTCTTTTAGCTCTCCAACGGAGGGCTACAAGGATGATTAAGAGACTGGAACATCTGCCATATGAGGAAAAGCTAAGAGACCTGGGGCTGTTTAGTCTTTAGAAAAGAAGACTTGAGTGGTTTATAGACATTTATATATGTATAAATATCTGAAGGGTGGGTGTCAAGAATGGGCCAATCTCTTCAGTGTTGCCCTGTGGTAGGGCGAGGGGAAATGGCACCAAGCTACAACACAGGAAGTTCCACCTCAACATGAGGTGGAACCTCACCCTCTTTACAGTGAGAGTGACATAGCACTGGGACAGGCTGCTCAGAGAGACTGTGGAGTCTCCTTCTCTGGAGACTTTCAAGACCTGTCTGGATGTGTTCTTGTGTGATCTGCCCTAGATGTTCCTGCTGCAGCTGGAGGGTTGGACTCAATCTTCAGAGGTCACTTCCAACCCCTATGATTATATTAGTAGATGGATACTTTCTGGTTTGTACTGTATTGAACTAGTCTGTACAAATAATTTCAAGCATTCCTGAAAAGCTGCCTGCCTTGTGTGTTTAGTTCTCTATACTCTGAGTTTCCTTGTCAGCATTTGTTCACTGATTTGCTAATGGGTGGTTCCAAATTAAACCTGATCCATTGGCATGGGTTAATGGGTCTGAACTGTAAAATCTAAATGTAGCCTGTGGAATACAGAACTTACTTTTATCTTTCTTGTAAATTATATATGAAATTTTCATGTCATACATCAGAAATACTTGCTTTGCTCTTAAAGCAAAAGGTGCATATCAAATTAGAATTTGTATGTTATTCTGACTCCTGTTTTTTTGCTTTAGGCCAGAACTATGATAGCAGTTGGGCTTGGTGTTGCAACTGTTGCATTTGCAGGTAAGCTAAATTACCAGCTGCATGTGGAACTGTCATGTGTGACCTGCCATTTCCAGAAGGGTTAGTGTAGTTTTTAGGAATAAACATAGTAGAGGGATCGCTTGAGAGTACTATGGAAAACTGTGTCCAGTTGTTGTTCCTATCCCTTCAAAACCCTTGACATATTTTCCAAAATTATTTTTGAAAAGTCACAGCTGGAGAAACTAATTTTATGGGCAGCAGCTAAAAGGTTCCATCTGCTTTTTGTCTGCAAAATGTAATGTGAAAAGTTTACTTTGTTTATTTAATACCATATTTCAAGATGGAGGCTCTTTACTACAGAGAAGTGCAACAGGATCTTGTGATGTGGTGATGCTCAGCAATCTCACAAGCTCAAATAGAAGCTTTTAGTAGCTACAATAATTTATCATACTAAACATTGTTTGTTAGCTGAACTCTTTGAATCTAGACTGTCTGAAAAATAGATTCTAGTCTGAAAACAGACCACGGGTTTAACATGATTTATACTCTGACTAGATAACTGTGGCCTGTTCTGGTTTTGAAAGACACAAATTGATTTCCATTATTTTAGCACACAAAAGCAACAACCGTGGTCAGCTGTGTATAAATGCATACACCAAGAATAGATGAACAAGTTGCACCGAACTTCAGCAGGTGTTTGCTGAGTACAGTTGTGTTAGTTTTAACTTTTTTTTATTAGGGGAAGGAAAGACAAGATCTTCAGTGATGCACACCAATTAAGCAGATGGCGTATCTATGTGTTTGTGTAGAATCAGAATAGGAAAGCTTTTAGAATTTCTTTTACTAGTTGAGCTGAATAATTAATAGCAGCTAGCAAAGAAGTGATGACAGAAAACATTAAGAAGAAGGTGAGGTAATAGTACATCAGAGGATATCAGCAGTCATACTCCTAGCAGTGGTTTAACTTCTGTGTTAACAAAATCACAGGTTTAGATGACAAAAATAAGCAACGGACACATGGCGTATTTTAAGAATAAAAGCAGGATGCTATGTGAATGAAAAAGAACCACATTTTAGAAAAAGTTTTTCAATTTATATAATAGTAAGTTATATTGATAATGAGTACTTAATCAAAACACTAATTGAGAAGAGGGGACTTACAGGGAAAATCCTCCAGTAACATTGCACAAATCTTGTTTCTGAAGTGGATAGAGTTGATTTGTACTTAAGAGAATGCATTCTAATAAGAGTTCCCTCCAGCCTTTCCTAGCTGTAGATGTTCACTCCTGATGGGGAGTTGAATGGCTCTGAGTCCCGTAAGATCCTCTGTTTGTAACAAAATAAAAAATGCAGTACTTCCAAAATGTGTAATTAAGCATACAACAACACACATGTAGTGCATAGATTTATTTTTTTTAAGGCATAACATCTGAGCAGTATTTAATAAGTAATGTATACCCAAAGCTTATGTTTCATACTTCCCTTTTTCTTAAAGTTCACAAAGCAGGTACCTTCATTTATCGTATTGAAATACATTTAAATCTATTTTGTGAGCAGACACAGTAGATGTTTGCAGTTTGTGATTAGATTTTTACATGACCTGACATATACTAAACTTCTTCCCTGCCCTCCCCCATTAGTACAAAGATTGAAAAATGTAAACTATAGCAAGTTTACTGTGGGACCTTGGTTGGGAAGGATCCAAAAATAGCTGTTGAGGGAACACACTGAAAAGCAGTAAAGTCCAGTGCTTCTGTGCAGCAGATAAATGAGACAGGAAGATAAACAAGGAAGGATTGTAATTTATTTATTTTTTTAAAACCAAAATTCTTTCTGCTGTAAGCTGCTAAGCATAAGCTGAAGCTTTTTTTTTTTTTTTTTTTTTTTTAGTGAATGTTGGTTATAATTTCATTTAACTTTAATCTTTTTCAGGTCGTTATGCTTTCCGCCTTTGGAAACCATTGGAGCAGGCAATTACAGAGACAGCAAAGAGGATTTCAACTTCAGTAAGTGTAGAGGTTACTTTATGTTAAATTTATGATTGTGTATTTTCTGATGAATACAGCAAGTGCCAGTTAGATTATCTTTTTTCCACAATAGAGGTGCTGCTTACTGTGCAGGTTCTGGCATATTATCTGGTATATCTTAAGTCCCTGTGGATGAAGCTCTATTGCAAGATGTTTGTGAGCTTGAGAAACAAGTCTCATTTTCCTGGTGATGTTCCATATTTCAGAGGTCTTTGCTAGTAAGCATATGAGAAGTTGTTGAAGTGCATGTTGAGAAAATAGCTAATTCCTAGAGATGAAAAAGTGATAACATGCAGTTTTATTTCAAGAAGCTACAAATGAAAGAATTTAGTAATTTTTCCTTCAGATACAGTGTTACAAATCAAGAACACAAATTGATAAACTCCTCTGAGAGGTTGCCATACAGCTGGGAGAGTTTGTTTTCTTGTTCTTATGTGTTGTCTTTTTTTTTCTTCCCCAGCTAATTTGAACTTTTTACCAAGTTTTTGTTCTTGTTTTGCCCTGCGTAATTAAAAATATAATGAGGTAAAAAATCAAGAGGGTAGGGTGTTATGAGAGAGGCATTTGCAGGAAATACCTCATAGCAGCCTTCCAGCATCTGACATGGGCATATAGGAAAGCTGGGGAGGGACTTTTTAGAAGGGCTTGCAGTGAGAGGACAAGAGTGAATGGCTTCAAAATGGAAGAGCTGAGATTTAGGTTAAGACATCAGGAAGGAAATTCTTCAGTGTGAGGATGGTGAAGACACTGGCACAGGTTGCCCAGAGAAGCTGTGGATGCACTGTCATTGGAAGTGTTCAAGGCCAAGTTTGATGGGGCTCTGAGCAACTTGGTCTAGTGGGAGGTGTCTCTGCCCACGGCAAGGGGGTTGGAACTAGGTGATCTTTAAGGTCTCTTTCAGCTCAAACCATTCTATAATATGATTCTGTGAATTTTAAGAGCATGTACTTTTTGCCTCAGTGGCTTTACTCTCCACTGGTAAATAAATAAATGCATTCCATTCCAGTTTGACTAATGTAATTCCAAATGGGGTAGGTGTGTGCCTGTGGCAGTGCACTCTTTGACAGTTCATAGCATGTGAACACTTACTCACAGTGGAAGAAATGAAATTCCCGTCTTGATGCTGATAGGTAAGGATGTTAATGTTTTTGCAGATTATTATTTTCTGAAAAGTGTATTAAAGACAGTCTTTTTTTTTTTTTATATATGATAATTAGCATTGTACCTATTAATGTGAGGTTGGTTGCAACACAGAGCCTGTCTACAGTATTAAAACACATGCTGGAGGTCCAAAGTCATTTGCCATCTGTACTTGTGTTCATGTGCTGAAGGTGCCTCAGGAGTGAAGGACTGTAGGCGTGGGCTGGTCCACACTTGTTCTTCATTATGAAGTGTATCAGCCAGAAATGGTGCTCCTGGATCAGTTTTTGCTCTTTTGAGAGCAACACCAATATATTTTTTTTCATTTTCACAGTAGATTTTTCAGAGGTTCCCTATTTAACTGCCAAAACAGCAGCAGAGACTGGGTACTGTGAATTAAATTGCTTTCACATGATGTGGATACAATCTTGTAGGCTTGCTAGAAGTAGCTGGCAGGAAGGACATGTGGCTTCGTAACAGGGAGTGCTTCAGTCTTCACTCTCCCTCCCCAGCAGTTCTACTCCAGCATTTCTTCTATTCATTTGTAGATATAGCTTAGCAAATCTAAATTCAGACATGTTCACATGAGAAAGCAAGCAGTGATTCTTTTTAACACATTGAAATATGACATGCTACTGCACAGAGATGTGTCTGTTCCTAGGAAACTGTACTACTCCTCAGTACTGGCATACTGACTGAGCCAAGCTCATTACAGGCGTATCTTTTTTTTAGCACAGTCACAGTGACTTTCAGAGTCCTGCAGAATTCATGAGCAACCATAAAGAAAAACTCAGGAGTTTCTGCATTCTCATTGTTCCTAGTCCCTGTAGCTGCATTCTCTTGTCTGCTTTGAAACCCTGCCTTACAGCCCAGAATTGTTTGTTGATTTCCAGTATTCTGCTATTCTGTTTCTGAAATTGAAAAAAACCCCACAAATTTCCAATGTAGGACAAGATCTGCTGAATACAGTAAAAACCTCTCTTCCTGTTTGCCATTAACTGTATGCATTTGTCAGCTTTCCATTTGTGAGAATAGTGATAGTATTTTTCTTCTACAGTTATTAACCAAATTTAAGACCCTTGTATAATTTTTAGCCAAGATTATTTATTTTTCACTATTCTATAGCTACTACTTTATTGTATTTCCATGTTTTTTTTTCTTTTCCCATAACAGTAATTTCCTATTTGTAATGTTTCTTTAAGACAATAGAGAAAACATGAAGAACAGAGATCCGATGTAAGTGCTTGAACAATAATAGTCCAAGCTTCTTATTTTAGTGGCTTTACATTATTTTTGTTTGGGGAATTCAAAGCTGCTGAGTATAATCTGTAGATGAGCACTTTCATCATGTTTCTTTTCAGCACATATTGGCCTCTAAACTATACTTAGAAAGGAAAGCAAGCAGTTAGAACTTCTACCTATGCTTACTGAAAAAATTATCTCGTGATATTTAATGGCTAGGCTTAGTGTTACTTTGCTGGTTTTATGTGGTGTTTGAAGATGCCTAACTTGGTCACTATAATTTTCAGTGGTTACTCTAGCTTTCTGGAATCAAACACTGTCCCTCATCACCTTTTTTTTGACAGAGACTGTGAAGCAGCCACCTGTTTTAAAAGCTAGCTTGTTTTCTCTGTAAGCCCCCACTCTTTCTCCTCCCATTTGCAGTTCTCTACTCCTTACTCTTGTTTCAATAGAAATCACAGTTCATGTTGGTTGCAGTCACACAAGGTAATTCAGATGCAGTTTATCCTTCTTCCTGCTCACTAATATATGACTTGGGTAAGATCACATTGAGCAATTATGATGTGATCATTTAACATGCTGGTTTACTGTTGAGTATCTTGAGTATCTTGAGTATATGACACTTTCTATTTACTTACCTAAATAAACAGCATGTACAGTCAACAACAGCATTTATTGTTTAGTCAAAAATAGTAAGTAAAGGCAAGTAAAGGTGTTATATTTTATTAGGAATTTCTGCCTCTCATTTAGCTTCTAACTCATTCACACCTCAGAATATGTATTCTACTGCTGTAAAGTGTAAATACTGCTGTCATTTAGTCCTGAAATTTTCTACCATCTTTTCTTTTTCAGTGGAGAAAGACATGAGTGGAAACATTGTTATTTCCTCTCTATGATGAGGCATAATGTTCATTTTCAGAGAAACCCTTTTTTAATTTGAGCCCGGTTTTGTTACTGGTGTCAGTCTGTTGTCTGTAGAAGGTGCACAGCACTAGGTAGTAAGTTGGCTTTTTTCCCTCAGACATTCCTTGATGCTGTTAATTATCATGTTAGTATTGCCTTAAAATGTGAATGAAAGAAGTTTTTCAGTAGCATTCATTACCTTTTTTATTGAATCAATATTATTGAAGGTTCAAAGATAGAAGATGTTAAAGATAGAAATTAAATTCTAGGCAAAATGAACTGTGAAAATATTCAGATCCCACAATCCTGAAAATTCTTCGTTACAGCAGAAAAAACTAATCTGTAGCAGTTTATTAGACATTTTTGCACTGTGTTTCTCTTATTGGATCTGACTCTGCTCAGAGTCATGGAGTTCTGAATTGAGAGTTAAGGGTAGCAACCATCTCTCTTGTCCTTCATTGAAAAGAAAGTTTCCACAGAATAATGCAAATTTGCAGTCCAGTTAGAAAAAAAGAAAAATAAAGTTAGGGAAATGAAAGTTCATCTTTGCAAATTATACTTTATATTAAAATAGAGTTTCTAAATAATTTCTTATTGTAGTTCATGTGTTTTCATTTTTACCTTCTCAATAGAGACTGTGTTGGTGGTGGAACAACATACAGACTTTTCAGAAAAATTCAGTACTTCATGTAATGTGATAGATGGCCTCAGTTACAGAGTCTCTAATTTCTAATTTCTAATTTCTCTAATTTCTAATTTCTGGCATGGAAATAGTGGTTATGCTTTCTTTCCCTGTGCTATACTAGGAAAAGTATCAAGGGTCAAGAGAGGTTATTCTCTCTGCTCTCATGAGGCCCCACCTGAAGTACTGTGTCTTGTTCCAGAGCTTCCAGTGCAAGAAGAACATGGAGCTTCTGGAGTGAGTACAGAGGAGGGCCATGAAGATGATCAAAGGGCTGGAGCACCTCTCCTATGAAGACAGGCTGGGAGAGTTGGGGTTGTTCATCCTGGAGAGGAGAATGCTCTGGGTAGACCTTGTAGCAGTCTTCCAGTACCTGAAGGGGCCCACAGGAAAGCTGGGGAGGGACATTTTACAGGGGCTTGTAGTGATAAGGGGTAATGGCTTTAAACTGGAAGTGAGTAGATTTGGGTTAGATGTTAGGAGGAAATTCTTCACAGTGAGGATGGTGAGACACTGGAACAGATTGCCCAGAGAAGCTTTGGATGCCCCATTCCTTGAAGTGTTGACGACTAGGTTGGATGGGACTTTGAGCGACCTGGGAGATGTCCCTGTCCATGCAGAGGAGTTTGAACTAGATGGTCTTTAAGGTCTCTTCCAACCCAAACCATTCTCTGATTTCATGGTCCAAATGGTTTGGATTTTATTAGCTGACAGCTTTTTTTTAAATTTTTTTTTTAATTTGGAAGAGTAAATATGCATTCACAGAACAGGTCCAGTGTTTTCTGTTCCCCTTCCTGCCTCACCACCCCCACCCCAACCTATTAATAGCATTTATTTAGTAAGCAGAATTTGCTTACTCAATTTGCTCAACAGTAACAACATGCAAATAAATGAAATAAATTACATTATAGCCCCTTCGCTCACCCCAAATAGTAAGGAGAAATGGAGAGTTTATTTTGATGATTTTTTCAGTATGGAATTTCTTTGCAATAGATGAGGTTAATAAATAATCATGTGTCTAGAACTGCCTGCTCATCAAGGAGTTCTTATAACAGAAAAATTTCTTGAGTATTGTTTCATTTCACTGCAGCCATTACTCAGAATTTGCAACTAGGGAAAAAAATTGCTTTAATTTGGGTAGCATGCAAAAGCTGTTTCATTAGGGAACTAGAAATTTGCCAAGATGTTTCCTAAAATGAAGATTTAAAGTTTCTTCCTCTTATTTTAACCAATGGGGAAAATGGCTTTTATGTCTAACTTCATTTTGCATTAAATTCTATTTAGGATCAAGATCTCAATTTAAGAATTGATTATTCTTCCTATGTGCTTCACTTCTGAGAAGAAAATGTTTTTTCTTGATGACCAGTTCAACAAACTGTTTTTGTTTATGTGCCAAAGAAGACAACACAATTTCTATTTTCGTTCCTCTTGAAAGTGAACCAAATCAAGGCTTCCTGAGGTTAGAACAGTGCCAAGGAAGTAGGCTTTAAAAACATGAAGAAGTATTTCAGAATTTAAGCCTATAGCCATCCTTCCCTATTCTCTGATTTCAAATAGTATTTTAGATTAAATCTATGAAGAACGGAGACAGGCCACGTTAGAGAGAACTCAGATATTGCTCTTCTCTACACAAATAGTGAACCAGAGTCTGTTGAAGGGCAAGGAAGAATTAACCTTTTCAGAAATCCATCTGCACCTAAGCTGCTTTGGGAGAAGTTGGGGGAAATCTTTCAGAGGACATTAAAGTGTGCATTTCTCTCCTGGCTGTAGTAATTGTTTGGCATCATTGCAAATGTCTATGCAGTCCTACCTCCTCAAGGATGTTATCTGGTAGCCATTAAATCATTAGCATCATTTCCACTCAGAGGACTGGAGATGCCCTGTGTGTTCCCTTACTGTTACATACTCTAACCTGTAAGGTTGATGTGCACTATTAGAGACTTGTTCTTTGTTACCCTGTAGCTAATAGTGGTGGGTCCTCAACAGGTATTTGTTGTATGCATGACATGTCCACAGTTGCTTCAGCTTTGATACCTGTAGTGGTTCTTTTGTGTATGTTTTGAGGTGGGAAGAAGGAAGACAAAATTAACTATAGATCATAGCAGCACACCAAAAAATCTTTGCTTCCTGGTGACAGCAGGTGAAGAATTTCTGAACCACGCTTTTGGGTGAATGTTGCTCTACAGCTTAATTAAAGGCTTTGCTTAGATGTAGACAGAGCCCTTTAAATGCTTTAATGCTTCTGAAATTACATGAGAAAGTTTCTGTAAACATAAGGCGAAATTCTTACTGAATATGAATGGATATATTTAGTTTTAGAAGCATTTCCTTAAGGGTCTGGCACATACTTACTTTGGGGTAAAATGAACACTTAACAGTTATATTGGTGCTCAGCCTGTTTTCCCCAGTTGATAGGTTTTGCATTAGCTAAGGAGCTTTAGTCTTTTTGAGTGATTTCTGTGTGCCAGTTCCCCAAGTCAGGCTGTCTTGGAGCTACATCTGCTGCCTCTGGGACTTGTACAGCTTAGACTATTATTTGTGTAGCAATGAACTAGTCCCTAATTCTTCTTATGACAACATTTGCATTGAGAATATCACTGCTAACCATCGGTGCTTGTTCAGTAATTGTTTGGTTTAGTTTAAAATCTATGGTTGACAAATATATGTTCAACCCATTCTATATGACAATTAATCATCATAATGATTTACTGTCATCTACATCTCCTTTTTAATGTTCTTTTCCCACTCGTGTTTTTCTCCCATTCTTAAAACAGTGGCTAAAGTCTCACATGCCAATGAGTTTAAAAAAATCTAACTCCATATCCTGTATTTAATCATCATCAGTCATTGGTGTCTGGGGAAGGATGTAAAGGCAAAAGTTGGTTAGGATTTCCCCATATGCTACTTCCCGGTCTTCTCCATCTCTGTGATTTCCTGAATCACAGAATTACCAAGGCTGGAAAAGACCTTTAATCAGGTCCAGCCTATGACCAACACCACCACATTGGCTAGACTGTGGCACTAAAGTGCCACATCCAGCCTTTCCTTGAACACATCGAGGGACAGTGCCTCCACCAGTTCCCTGGGAAGTCCATTCCAATGTCTAATCACCTGCTCCATGTGGAAGTACTTCTAATACCCAACCTAAACCTCCCCTGGAGCAGCTTGAGGCCATGCCCTCTTGTCTTGTCGCTAGTTGCCTGGAAAAAGAGCCCAGTCCCCACCTGACTACAACCTCCCTTCAGGTAGTTGAAGGTACCCCTGAGTCTCCTCTTCTCCAAGCTAAACAACCCCAGCTCCCTCAGCCTATCCCTATAAGATTTGCCCTCTAGTCCTTTCACCAGCTTTGTTGCTCTCCTCTGGACCTGCTCCAGCACCCCAATATCCTGAAGTAGAAGTTGTGTCTTTATGCTAAGCCTTTTTGTTTGGTTCAGGTTTTTTATTTATTTTTCAGGGTTCGTTCAAAGAACTTGTTATATTTTTTGAACTAACATTCCCTTCATATGAAAAAAAAAATACTGACTCTTCATCATTATATAGTATTTAGCTTATCTTTAATATTTGTATTGCTGTTTTTGCCTACTTTATTTGTAGAAATAGCTGGACTTCAGAGTGATTGACCATAATTCCCTGGATGGCAAAACACTGTGACTTTTGCCATTTTTCATTGCAATGGTGCCAAAGCTGTTCTGAGAAAGGTTTCCCTTTTCTCTCCTGTTTTCTCCTCAATACATGCACTGTACCACTTGATGCTAGTAAGTACTTTGATTCTGGACTGTTGCCTGAAGGCAGGATTTTAATGGTTGTAGCCATTAATACCTCTTACTAGCAGTAGAAGATTATAAAAACACCGTTAGTTATTTTTAAGTCTGTTTCTCTATGTGTTAACACTCAGAAGTCCTTTCCTATTATCTGGTTTGTAGTTATTCCATGCCTTCAAAATAAATTATAGATGAATTTAATGCTCCGAATGAGGTCATATAAATATGATTTAGGTCCTGGCACCTTGTATATCAAATTAATTATTGCTTGTTTTTCCCTTCTTCTTTTTAGAGCCTTTCATCATACTATAAAGGAGGATTTGAACAGAAAATGAGCAGGCGAGAAGCTAGTCTTATATTGGGTGTAAGGTAGGTGTGTTGCATTCATGTGATTTTGTTTGGTGAGTACTGAATGAGGAAAATGCATGTTGTGAATACTCTTGCCAAAACCATAACTTTTTGTAGAAGACTTCTAATGGCTTATAAACCATTTTAATATTCGGCTTAAACTAAAAAGTAAACAATAAAATGCTAATAAAACATGCAACTTGTGTTTGGCTTAAAGGCATGGTAACATATTGCAGTGGAGAATTTGTGCTCTAGAAGTAATCAGAACAGCACATACTGTGCTAATTAGTATGATCACATGGCCTGGTCTCCAAAACCCCCTAGAGATTAGTAATATTGTAGATTATATTAATTAACGAGCAAAACAAATCAATTTTGCTCATTTTTTTCATTTCAGTTAAATTAATTTTTTCTTTCTCCACTCGAATTTGTTTGGATTTAAAAAAATGCAACATATGCCAAGCAAAAATACTTGGGAAAAGTTGTAATTTAGAGTAGGAATGGGAAATTATTTCCAGACTGAGTATTCCATGGATATTTCAGTGGATTTTTTAAAAAACATTTGGGTGGCCAATGGTAGAACATACGTTAGTGTTTTCAGTAAAGCAAGCAGTGGATTTGATGGCTTTTCAGATGAGAGGAGCAGATCTGACCTTAGGTAGTAGATTTCTTAGTTATGGTTTAAGAAATTTCTGAATTTAAGGTTAAAAAAGATGAATAAATTGTGAGGTGGATGGTTTTAATTATCCCCAAAAGAAATTATTTCAGATAGTGAAAACTGGGTTTCAAAATCTTGTTCAGTGTGCTGTGTTTGCTTCAAACATAATAGATACTATGCAGATTTATCATTAACTTTAAGAAATTATAAAATAAAAGATTACACTTATTTGAAATATTTCAATGCTTGCACACTTAAGATAGAATGGTCTTCAGAAATAATTCCTTTTGCCTGTAAGTTTGAGGATATATTAACATTTTCACTTTTTAAGGGTAAGTTCAATGATATTCCAGAGAAGCACATGGCAGCTCATTAAAGTGTGTTTACAGTGGAAAGGCCTGGCCCGAATAGTGCTCATGTACATGTCTGGAGTTCCATCACATGTGGAATTTGTCCCCTTTAATTCTAATAGCTTGAGTCTGCACTGGCAACAGTGATGCTGCTTGTTGTGTTTGCAAGACTGAGTCTGAATGTGAGCCAGCAGTGTGCCCAGGTGGCCGAGAAGACCAACACCATCCTGGCCTGCATCAGAAACAGTGTGACCAGCAGGACCAGGGAGGTGATCGTGCTCCTTTACTCCGCCCTGGTGAGGCCACACCTCAAGCACTGTGTGCAGCTTTGGGCACCACACTATAGGAAGGACATTAAGGTGCTGGAGAGGGTGCAGAGAAGGGCAATTAGGCTGATTGATGGTCTGAGAACAGGTCTTATGAGGAGAGGCTGAGGGAAGTGGGGCTGTTCAGCCTGGAGAAGAGGAGGCTGAGGGGAGACCTCATTGCTCTCTACAGCTACCTGAGAGGAGGTTGTAGTGAAGTGGGTGTTGGCCTCTTCTTCCTAGTGACTAGCGATAGGACAAGAGGAAATGGGGTCAAGTTGCGACAGGAAGTTCAGGCTGGATATTAGAAAAAATATTTATTCGCAGAAAGAGTAGCAAAGCATTGGAACAGGCTACCCAGGGGGGTGGTGGAGGCATTAAAAAAATGAATGTGAATGTGGTGTTTCAGGAGGTGGTTTAGTGGTTACGGAGGTGAAGGGCACCTTGATTGTTGGACTTGATGCCCTTGAAGGTGTCTTCCAATCTTGATGGTGGTTCTGTGATTCTATGATTTTTGCAAATATCAAGACTTTATCAGATTTGAGGAAAGGTATTAATGCTTAAAGGATTGAGCCTTTAATTGCATAGAAGCATGGCTAACTTTTTTATAGCAAATTTTCATGTTACTTTAACATGCTTTACTAGACCAGTTTTAAGTCACTGCTTATTCTATTTTCTATATAGGTAAAAATGCCAACAAAAAAACTCCTAGTGAGTTTGAAGGTGTTATGGAAAATGCCAGGATATGCACAAATACACAAACTAGATCTGTCTAGGCCCTGATCATCTTATTGTGACACTTGTCATCTGTGTCATCACTTCCAAATAATATTAAATTCTGAGGCAAAGATTTTCCTCATTATTTCAAGTGCTGAGTATGCATGGGCAGTATCAGTAATAAATACAAGCTGTGATAAAGGTGAGAATTTAATTGTAGCTTTGTAATTTCAAATATATTGGCCCATTAAACATTCCAAATGTTATTATCTAATAACCATCTTGTAAGATTGCAGGGGTTTTGGTAGAAATGTGCATGTGCATCATTTAAACGATGTAAAAGGTATCCAAAGCTACAAAGTACTGTATTGGAAATATTGACTAATTTTTAAGTTTTAGTGTTCTTACATCAGTTGTTATGAGGCAGCACTGATTACTGGCATTCAATATAAACATAGCAGTAATATTGACAGCTCTGTGCTCTGTAGAAAGAAATGCCGATAGGAGAGATGGGGCAATGTCTGAGGTGTCACAGAAGATGAAAATGTCAGAAGTGTTTGCTGAACATTAGACCAAATAGATGCTAGCAAAATATGGCTACCAAATCCCTAAGGCTGAACTTCTGAAGTTAGAAAATATGCCTGAAAATAGTAAGGTAAAATTCTAGCTAAAAATGAAAAAATTTCCTTAATTATATAGTTTTCCCTATGAAACAATGTGCATACTTTTTCTTTCCATATTAAGTATTTGTTTGTGAATGTACAAAAATATATATAAATTAGTTAAAAGTGTTTAAATCACAATTCTTAAACATAAATGACACAACAAAACCAAAAAGGCTATTATATAAAGGAACATATAGCACATTTGTAAAATGTAGAGACAGAAAAATGTTTAAGGTTTCATCATTGTGGCATCTGTTTTACGTTTTTTAACATACATTTTATTTCACTTTCAAACACAGCTTACTGCACAGGTTTATTATATGCTCATAAGACCACTCAAATTTGGAGGGGTCTTAGGATGTCTTTATTCCTACCTGCGGCTCAAAGCAGGACCAACAGTGGGGTCAGGTCAGATTACTCAGCAAGTTTCAAAAAACTCCCAAGGATGGAGAATGCACATCCTCTCTGGGCAACCTATGTCACTGCTGGACTGTCTTTGGGGTGAAAAAGCATTATGTCCAGCCCACACCTCCCTTTTTAATTTTTGTCCATTTTCTCTTGCCCTCACACCAAGCATGACCATGGAGATCCTGGACCCATATTCATTATGACCTCCCTGTAGGTACTGGGGAGGCTGTCAGGAGGTCCCCTTCTTTTTTAGGCTTAACAAGCCCTGCCCCCTCAGCTTCTCCTGAGGAGGCTGAGAGCTCCAGCATCCAACCATTCTGGTGGCCTTTGCTGGACCTGCTGCAGTTGGCCAACGTCTTTCCTGTACAGAGATCCCAAAACTGGACACAGCAGCTCAGTGTGGTTGGCCAAGTAGAGAAGAACAGCTGCTTCTGTTGAGATAGTGACCGTGCTCCTGTTCATATGGCCCAGGAGGTTGTTTTCCTTGGCTGCTGCCAGGACACGCTGCTGGCTCTTGTTCTTGCTGTGCCTCAGGTCCCTTTGAGCAAAGCCACTTCCCAGCCTGGCAGTCCCAGCCTGTAGCACTGTGAGGGCTCCTTCCCAGGTGCTGGGCTCTGCATCTGTTCTTGTAGACTTTTGTGAAGGCTTCCTGTCAGCACATTCCTGCAGCCCCTCAAGTCCCCATCAATGTCAGCCCTGCCCTCTAGTTGGTGGTTTTAGGAGGCAGCATGATGTTGGTATGAGTGAGGCTATGAGGCTCTGTCTGTTCAACAAATATGTGATATTAACATGAAAGGTTTTTTTCATAGCAATTAAGAATTTTTAGGGACTGGTATGACTGTGGGATAAGCAATACTAAGCAAATACGGTATAAAACACCATTTTCAGAGTTACTTCTTGGAGCAGAGCTGCATCATTTTCTTTGATATGCAACTGCAACTTTTCCACATCAGATGCGGAAAGAAGCTGTGGCTTTGGCCATCTGAATTTCTAAATGTTGTATATCAACTTCCCTTTTTATTAAACAACAGCTTTATATATAAAAATATAAATTATTATTTTTAGCTGTCTGATAATAGTTTTGTTTTCCAATTCACATAGTCAAGGCCTTTCACCCACTGTTTAGTTCTTATTTTCTGGGTTACTTTCTGTTCCACTGAAGTATTTTTTTCTTATGCAGTTCCATGAACTGTTTTTGCAACACACCCTGATTTCCCTGTGACAGAAGAATAATTGGAGGTTGTTTACCTCAGGAGTGTAGTTAGCCTGATACCTTGCATTCAAACTCTATCTACAAAAAGATTAATTAATTGAATCATCACTGATTAAGAAGTCACCTGAAGTGGAAAACAGTGCTTCATTTCTGCATGCTAACAAATTAGGGGAAACTAAACCATTCAGACTGTCCTTCTGCATACAATAGCTTTATTTGGTTGGCATACTGCATCTGTAAGTGGTTATTTGTCTGGTAAGGTACATATTTAATTTAGGCCAAGTACATATTTTATGTATCTGTCATTGAAGGAAACAACATTATGTAGCTGTTGTAAATCAGCATGTCCCTGAATGTAGCACATGGAACAGCTTTGCAAAAATAACAAATGCAGGGTTTTTTTCCAGACTCCAACAGAAAGATTTATTTATAGCAGCTATAAATACATTTACAGTAGAAGAAAATGTGATAATGTTAAATATTTGTTGTTTTGTCACTGGTCATACAAATACCTATTTTCTAGGAGGAGAAACAAAATGTTTTCTGCTTTTAATGGTAAGAATAAGAAGCTAGATACAGCCTAGAGCTGCTGGTGTTCTCCTTTTTTTTCCAGAATAATTTATTTTAAATGAGCGGATGTATTGCATTTTAAAAAAAACAAACAACAAAAAACAACCCTGAAAGATATTTTTGTGTCAAATGCACAGGCTTTTTAAAAATGTCCTTCTTAGTGTGTCTTAATGTGCCTTTGTCATTGTTACTTCCTCAGAGATGCAGTTTTATATTTTGTCCACAAGATGGTGAAAATTTCAAGTTTTAATTATTTTTGAAGCCAGTATAAACTGTTAATTTATTGCCTGAGTGCAGTGGCATTTATGGTAAGCACTTCAATTTCTTTTTGCAGTCCATCTGCTGGCAAGGCCAAAATCAGATCAGCCCATAGAAGAATCATGATTTTGAATCATCCTGACAAAGGTAAATAGTTATTAATTTTCTTAACCAGAGCTGGAAAGGAAGAGGCTTAAATGAGATCCTTTTAAGTTTACTTATTGTGTAAATTACCATACTGAGTGCAAATATATGTTGTGTATTTATAGATGAGCTTTTGCATGTCTTCTCTCAGATGAACTCGGCTTTATGAACCACAGTTTTACCCATCTTTCTTTAATGTTGTCTTCTAGACTTCTTAAGTTAAAACTGTGAGCTCAGGGACTAGTCTTCCACACTTAAAAAAAACTTACTCAGAAGTAAGAAGAAATTTTTTAAATCTATAATATTTTTACATTAAGCTGACATTCCTGTTTTGAACTGAGTTAGATCAGTCACATGTATGAATGTAACTTTCAGTGGGGAAATGTTCTGCAGTTACTGAGTAAAACATTGGTGAATTTCAGACTTCCTGGAATTTGGGCACTGTTGCTTTACTGACCAGGTTTTTAATGTAAATTTATCTTGCTTTCAGAAACGCTATTATTATAACTTTAACTACACTACAGCTGGTTGAGAAAGAAAGCCCATATGTTCATTGCTGTTTCTACTTTAAAATAACAGATGGTGAAGAGTTGCACTGTATTTCGGAAGTCAGAAGGGGAAATTGGAGGGTTTTTATATCTTTTTGACAGGATTACAGGGCTTCCTGCCAGCACCCTGTTTTAAGAAAATGAAAAAATAACTGTGACCACTGACCATGGGAGGTGTTTAGTCCATGCTTTTCTTTGCTGTCTTCACCCCTCAGTTTAATTCTGAAGTTGTCTTGCTTATTCAATTTCACGCTTTCCATTTTTGCACTTTTTGTAATATATAAGCTGCACAGATATAGAAAAGAAATTACCTTCTGCATTTCTAATATATTATGATGGCCAAGGCCTCTTAACCACTAGACTACCTATTAGGTAAAAATTTTTTGGTAACAAACTTAGAAGTTTATTGTAACAATCCTTAGAGAGATGCGCCAGAACCATGAATCTCCACGTGGATGTTGACTAGGTCTAAAGAGGCAGTTCCTTCTATTAAGGTCATACATTTTAATGACCCACTTTTACAGCCGTAATGCACCTGCAGCTGGGCACATTGTAGGCTTGGATAGATGTAGTGAGCCCTCCTGTGTGCTATTAAGATGGAGCATTTTCTCAGTAGGAAGGCCAGTTGAAGGGATTTGTGCTTTTGTGCTGCCCCTTCAGCTCTTCTGGCATGGCTGGAGAAAAAAAGTCTTGTGTAATGACTTCAGCTGCAGAGCTAAGGCCTGGAGTAATCTGGAACATGTGGCATCACAGAGAGACTTGTTTTCTTATGTATGTATCTTGATTTCTTCTGGCTGTGGGGAGCACAGATGTGCTTTTAAAATTAATAGCCAACATTGGAATGCTGTTTTAAAATAATATCTTAACAGATGGAGTTGATAGAAGAAAGGGCAATAATTACAGATTTTTAAAGTTACACATCTGAGATTTCAATTATAAGAATAAGAAATATAAAGAAGCTTGCAAAATAACATGCCCAGTGAGGGCTACTAAAATGGTTTCTTATTAACCTTTAAAAAGTTTGGTTTAAAAGTGTTTTGATATTGATGTATTGTATGTTAATTTATCAGTTGCTAATTTTATGAAAGAATATTTGCTGACAGGAAAAGAGGAAGATAGAAGCCTTTTGGGCTTGCTCTAATTATAAACAAACACTTAGGCAATCGGGAGATTGAATTTTCTCTCATTGGAAGGCTACAAAATTAATATGGCACTTGAAGATGTAAATGTAGTGAAAACACTTCCAGCAGATTTGAATTTACTTTTAAGATCCTGCACTCATGTAGAAAATCAATGCGTATTTATAAATTACTTGATACATTGTATATTGCAAATTTTAGTCTTTACTGTTTGTTTGATCCTCTTGACTACTTGTGGAAAGAAGCAATGCTCAATGAAGTAAATTCTGTTGCTAGCTAAAAAGACAATTAATTTTAATAAAAGGAAAATATAAATTCATTTTCCAGAAGCCATTTGTTTACTTTTCCTCTGCTCTGCCTTACTTTCCTCCAGTGTGTCTTACCTATTAGGGCTTTGTTCAAACAAAACCAAAACATGAACAAGACAACACCATTACTTTTTCCAGTTGTTTTATTGCACTATGAAGCAACTTTGTAATGGTTTGGATTGCAGCAATAATGTCCAAAATAAGTCTTTAGGCAAGCCTTGCCTTTTTGTTTTTATTTACATGTGTCTAGAACTAGTTCTGCGTGTTTCTTCTGTCATCTTTTCTGATGAATAGAATAGAATGAACGAAATGATGAATGAATGAATGATTGAACAGATGTCTTGGAAAAGACTATTCAGTGCACAGTAGTGCTGCAGTCACATTTTCATGTAAAAATATAGGTGTATTATGGTAAGCAGTAAGTTACTGATACAGACTTCGTAATGTTGCTTTTGGTGACTGTAGGCAGATGGTTGGCACTCAAGGGGAGAGTTAAAAAAAAAACCAAGCACAAAAAGACCGCTGAACTGTAATCAGATTGTTAGATGGAGCGTAAAGCAATGAGAGTGTTCAGGACTGGAAGTTAGAAGGCATAGCATGTTTAAACAGCTTTAATGTGATGGTTTCTGGCTGGTAATGCTGGGCGTCTAGCACAGGAGAGGCTTGAGGGTGTGGGTGGGTGTGTGCACACTTAATGATTCTTTATCAAAATTATTTATCAAATTTTACCTCTTAGTTCTTGAGGTGAGTTGAAATAGCAGCTGTTGGCTTTGAATGGATGGTCAAGATGGGTGACCTTGTGTACATTTGCAGCAGAATTGCACTGAAAGTCTGAATCATTTCAGTGTAAAGTGATTTCAGATTCTGGTCTTCTCTGAGACAAATTGTTCAGCATTATTCTTCAGTTACCTCAGTTGTAGTTACATTTGATTACATTTCTCATGTTTCCTTATCAATTAGTTTAATTCATATCAGTGTAATTTTTTTAAGCAGTTGAACGAAAAAGATCTATTTTGGAAGGAAAAGCTAATAAAAGTGAATAATAAGGGGATGCTGCAAGTGAAGTACTTTGATACTTAATACTCGTGTAAGTGGTTTTCCTCTCTCCTTTTTCTTCTCAGGTGGATCACCTTATTTGGCAACAAAAATAAATGAAGCAAAAGATTTGTTGGAATCCAGTGTCAAAAACTGAAATCTGAAGCCTTGGGTCATAGGAGATTCAGCAGATACACTGTGCAACAGCTTTCATATCTACTTGCTCTATAGAGTTTCTTAACCTTGCATTGACTGTTCCTATTTATAGTGACAATTAGAGATTTAAGATTATTTAAAAGCAAACAAATATTTTAAAGTTATGTAAAATTATGTACAGTTACGTTCCTGCAAGTAGCAGGGAGTTGGACTTGATGGCCCTTATGGGTCTCTTCCAACTCAAGAGACTCTGTGATTCTGTGTCTCAATTTTAGTTTTTTCTAACTGAATTATGATCCATTACAAACTTTGGAAATGTTTTTTTTAATGTCTACGTTTTTCTTCAGAAGTAGTTGCTTCTTTCATTAAACTGTTGGAGCTTTTTAAAATTTAAAAAATAGTCTTAAATATAGGGGGTTTTCTTCATTGATACAGACTTCACCCTTGCCAGAAAATCTGTGACAATTCTTTGAGTCACAGGAAGTGTGGCAGATCCTGACCAGCAAGTTTTCAGCATTGTCTTCCACTTGATTCTGTTCATTTGTGAAACAGTAGGGTTTATTCATGAGTGCAGTTTGAGAGGTGCAACTCGGAACAAAATGACTAATGGGACAACAGAGTGCAGTTTTCCTTTGCTGTATCTGGTGTGGAGTCTTCTTCTCTGAAGACTTTCAAGACCCATCTGGATGCGTTCCTGTGTGATCTGCCCTAGGTGTTCCTGCTGCAGCAGGGGCTTGGACTTGATGATCTTCAGAGGTCCCTTCCAACCCCTATGATTCTATGATCTGTGGGGCTTGGATACATAGAGGAAGAGTCTTGGGTTTGATTAGTTCTTTAGCATATTAAAAGACCTCTGGAATTATCAAATAATTATTTGGACACACTTTTACTTAAAGTCACCGAGGACATTTACTCCACATCAGCGGAGTAAAGCAGAGAAGGTAGGTCCATGTTTATAGGCTGTGGTTGTCTAGGTCAGTCCAGTCATGTCAGCCTGGTGTAGGACTGATACAGCAGGGAGCAAACAGGACTGTACCCATGATGATGGTCACTTCGGTTATGGCTCTGGGTGGACTTACTGGATTAGTTCTCCAGTCATTCTCACATCTGCTTTGTGCTCCATTTCCAGTAGAACCATACACACCTCCTTATGCAGCACCCTACCAACCTAGTCCTGGCTTTGGGGAATACTGAAGCTGTGGATCTCTGACCTTGAAAAGAACAAGTTTTAATTGGCAGCAGAGAGTAGATGCTATTTGGGGCACTTGGCTGCTATAAGTTCCTACCAGTAGTTTGGCTGCAGATGATTTAACTTTCCTAAGAGGATGATGATGAGTTGAGACAATCTAGGGGATTTATTGCAAGACTGAAAAGATTTCTAGTATCCATTCCAATTTGTATAAGTTTGAGGTGCAACAAGCAACTAACTTGCTGAAGTGCTACAAATATAAAATTTAGACATCCCATTTCTTAAGTTATTTAGCCAGAGGAAAATGACTATGAGTAGTTAAATAATTAAAGCATCCAACCTCATATTTATCTATTCATCCAGTGGTGAAAGTCCAGATTATATGGATTTTTTCCTTGAAAGGAAGAAAGAATATGAATCATTTTTTCTTGGGTTCCTCTAGCTTTGTCATAATTCCCTTACTTTCACTAAAGAAAGATGAAAAAAGTGAAGTTGACCCTGAAAGAAAATACTAACTTTTAGGTAAGAGACTCCTTTACAATTAGATTGGCAAGACATATGATAGAACGTGACTGGATAAAGCAAAAAAAGGCTGCAGGGAAAAACCTCCCTGGGGATAGACATATGCTCTATGAGTACTACACTCACATCATTTAACTAATGATCAAATACAAGAAACTTTAAATTAAAGATAATGTCCTTTATTCTTATGCACTAGCCTTAATTGTTATTGTGATTTTATTTTTTTTCTAATGAGTAGCCACCAATTAATGCACTCTTAAGGTTAGATATTCCTTTCACTGGTGTATTGTATGTATTAGCAGAAGAAAAGAAAACCATACTGTATTTCTACAAGCTGGTGTTTTTTTTGCAGATGCATATTCCCAACCTTTTTTAAATGAGAGTATAAAATCTTCTGGAAAACAAAAAATGGTCGCTGCTTTTTAGGATGTTGCTCAAATAAACGTTTTAATTTGGAAATTATTAAAATACACTTTCATAGTTTACTCTCTCCTGTTTTGTAAGTTTATTCCCTATATTGGGGCACTGAGTAGGAAGGAGGAAATTTTAATCATTATCTGATGTCTTACTGACTGTTGGCAATACACAAACTATGAGGTGAGAACCTACTCTCACAAATAATTTGAATTATCAGCCTAGATAGCAATGCTCCTATTTCCTTTAATATTAGGAAATGACAAAACTATATTTAGAATGAGAGATATAATTTTGACAATGGTGACATCATTCAAGTTATTTTCTTAAGATTTTTCAGCAGTTAGTTATGATACACAGAATAATTGCTGTACAGCTTCATGAAACATTGAAACACTCCTGCTGTTTTATTACAGCTTCCTTATTTAGATAATAACTTAGAAGGAAAGGTTAATTAGTTGTGGGTTTTTTAAAATACTAGATATTGCATCTAATAAACTAGTTTTAAATAGTGTTGAAGTTCCTCTCCACAATGTTTTCTCTTCAACATGGTTGTATGATTTAGACACTGAACAAAACCTGGTTCTGGGTGTAGTGATTTTTTTTCCTGACTGTTGAAATTGATGTGGGCGATGTGGAGATTCCAAATATCTGGCTGATGAATGAACAGTGTGTTGCAAAGAATGGTAGAGATCCTGAATGCTGCAGTGAATACAATATAATGAAAGAAACCTAACCCAAAATCTAATTAGCAACTTCATGGGTAAAACATTTTCCAGATGGCTGGGATCTGGAGGCATTGGTGAAGGAGTTATGCTCTTCTCAAAGGCTGGTCTTCCTGGGATGTTTCCAGTTGAACATGCTTGTCAATGACCTGGAGAAGGAGACTCTCATCAAGTGCAGTCACATGAAGTTTGCAGATGCCACCAAATGGCAGGAATCAGGACTAACATTGAGGGAGACTGGAGAGACTGCAGGAATGTGCTGACAGGAAGCCTTCACAAAAGTCTACAAGAACAGATGCAGAGCCCAGCACCTGGGAAGGAGCCCTCACAGTGCTACAGGCTGGGACTGCCAGGCTGGGAAGTGGCTTTGCTCAAAGGGACCTGAGGCACAGCAAGAACAAGAGCCAGCAGCGTGTCCTGGCAGCAGCCAAGGAAAACAACCTCCTGGGCCATATGAACAGGAGCACGGTCACTATCTCAACAGAAGCAGCTGTTCTTCTCTACTTGGCCAACCACACTGAGCTGCTGTGTCCAGTTTTGGGATCTCTGTACAGGAAAGACGTTGGCCAACTGCAGCAGGTCCAGCAAAGGCCACCAGAATGGTTGGAGGCTGGAGCTCTCAGCCTTTGAGGAGAAGCTGAGGGAGCAAGGCCTGTATCAGGGAAGTGATATAATTGTTTCTATGGGCAGTTTATAAAGTCAGAATTACATCATTTGTGGCCTCAGCTGAACTTACAAGCATAATTAAAATAGTCTTGAATGTTTGGAGAGCTGGGCAAAACAAAATATTGGTATTTTAATACTGCTCTGTGGTGTCCTGGAGCCAATGCTCTAAAGGACTCTGAGTCAAGTCTTGGTGTCACTAGTCACAGAATCACAGAATCTTAGGGGTTGGAAGGGACCTCGAAAGATCATCTAGTTCAACCCCCCTGACAGAGCAGGGTCTCCTAGAGTACATCACACAGGAACACGTGCAGGTGTCAGTCCTTTGTTTTCGATACCTGGTGATGGGAAGCTGCCTAGTCTCTGTTGGGCCAAGAGCAAAGACATTCCACCTTGTGAAACTGCCAGTGGCCTAAACAGGGAGAAATACCTCCTTGAGTAATGACCACCTAGTTAAAGGGCTCAGCAGCTGTCCAGCCTGTAATTGTTTAGTGGTACCCTTGCTGGCGTCAGTGGGAATTGCTGTGGTAGGAATTGCTGCAAGGGACAAATTGATCAGCTCAGAGCGGCTTAAAGATCTGAGCGCAGATGTTACTGACAGCACTTCAGGTTTTCTGAGTTAAGTAGAGGGCTACAAGATTCCCAGTTAGATTTTCTTTACTAGCAGCTGGGCAAGAAGCAGTGGGATTCTCTTTTGAGAAAACAGTATTTTGCAAGCTCCTATTTGTTATGTTTCTCTCCATCTTAGTGTATTATTTTACCACCAACCAACATTGCTCTCAACAGTGCATAGATACCATTTCTTCAGAGGCCTTAAATGCCTGGGAGAGCAAGCTGGAAGCCAGGTGCTGTGCCACAGAGCAACATCTGCAACTTGCTTACATGCTCAATTGGCATCTCCATATGCTGATACTACACAATTAAATATTTCAGTCTTTGGTGAGTCAGCTTCAGTGTTTTCCACTACTTCCTTCATTGAAAATGCAATCCCACAGATGTTTCTGGGGCTCCTGTCCTCCCTTCAAGCTGTCTTCTCAGTAGTGGTGAAAATTCACTCTCTATCCTTCTTTTTCTCAGTGCAGCCACCCTGCCTCCAGTGTTCAATAATTCATAAACTTGCAGGAGGTGCACCTAAATGATTTTAACTACCTCCAACTTTTTTTGGACAGAAAGATAATAAAAATCATTTCACAGTAACTAAAGTAAGTCAGTTCATTGGTGAAAGCACTTTAATATAACTTATTAGCTATTCAGGAGGAAGGTTTCACTAAAGGTACAATGCCTTTATGTATTAAAGTGCAGCTCAATGCCTGAAAAATGACTACATAAATAAGTTCATAGGATCATAGGATCATACAATGGTTTAGGTTGAAAGGGACCTTAAAAGATTATCTAGTTCCAACCCCTCTGCCATGGCAGGGACACCTGCCAGCAGGCCAGGTTTCTCAAAGCCCCATTGAACCTGGCCTTGAGCATTTCCAGGGATGG